GATGAAGGTGTACAGAAACATTCAGATGTGAATCTTTATTATTTCAGAGGAAAAAAGACAAACTCAATGAAAAATACAAAGCCAATGTGTAGTTTAGTTTTCTGTCTTGTTTAAACTTATTAATCATTTGTTTTCACTGCTGTATCTGTCGGTCGCACTAGTGCTGTTGCTACAACCATTGTTGTTATCAGTACTGGTACATGTGCTCCAAAATGGTGTGGGCGTGGGTGTCGGAGTCTTCGTTTGACCCATACCCACATCCACACCTATTAAAAGTGTTATTAGTCTGCTTTCTAAATTAAGAAAAAAAAGTTATCTAAGATTTCTCAGCTAAGAAATGCTATACATTATTCTAAAGAGAGATAATTATGCATTTTTTGTCAAAAATTCATCAGTAGATTTCGTTTGCCTTTAGTGTTTATATTTCATTTCAAACAAAATAAAGAAATACATCAATAAGATGTTATAATTATTGAAAAATAAACAGAAGATAGTTTTTGATTGAGATAAATAAATTGTTTCATGAAGGAAATATGAAGTTCCGTCTTGCAATAGTAAGCGATAATTCAGTCATTGATTAGTGGCAATGGCCCTCCTTGGAATTGTACCATCCAAGGTAGTCACACGATTTTGTCGTCGTCTTATGATAAAAAGATTCTTCAATTGAGGTGTCATAAATACCATTTGTATACTTAATATTGCCATGGACACTTCAGATCCAACCCACAAAATACGATAGGCTAATGGATATTCAATACCATTGATGAAGCACATTATCAAAACGGTTACACCTGGAATTCCAAGAACAAACAATAGACCAACATTAATAAAAATTCGTTGAATAGCGGTCAAATCTCGTTGTTGTCGTTGTCTCACCATCAATGTTTGGTTATGGGGTTGTTGACGAATAAATATTGTAATACGAAGATATATAAGAGATAAAAGTAAGAGAGGTAATCCATAAGCAATAAATAGAGCCCAAAGAATACCACGAGTTTTCGTGAATGCAGGAAAACAATAATATTCATTAGGTAAATATATGACATCATGCCAGATTAAAATAGGACATAAAACAATAAAAGCTCCTACTAATTGAACAGGTATTGCAATGACATAAAACCAGAAAAATTGAATCCATCTCCGATTCGAATACACAATACGACAAAGACGAAAGAAAGCCTAGAAAATGAGATGAGATAGAAGGATGTGGGTGTAGATGGAAGACTATCACGGACAGCCATACCACACACACCCTTTTTTTAGATCTACTGGATTTATATACATGACAGAATTCATCTCATGATAACGTATCATACGTCCCAATTGCACTGAAGAAAATCTCAATTTCAGAAAATGAACTTGTACATCCATCCTGACCATTGTTTCCGCCCTGTCTGCCTTTAGATCCTCGATTTGACATTGATATAAAAACGAGTGCATATGTTAGTATTCTCAAAATTCTGAAAAAAATCAGTCTGTAAACAGTGGTTTGTCTTCTTAAATACCTTAGAGAAAGTCTGAACTTTTATGAACGATCACAACTCGAGAAGGCAGATATTAATAAAATGAACTTTCTTCGGGTTTTCAATATCTTATTGAGGTTTTTTTGTTGGATAAAAACAGAGTTAATCAGCTTAAACATATGGAAATGCTTTCTCTATAGCCTTTTTCATCAATCAAACATTGGTCTAAGTCAACTTGAGATTTGCTTAAAATTTCTAGACGGATCTCAGATTAGACGTGTTGTAGCTAATCAGTCCGAGATTGTTCTGATTTAATGTCCATCCAATTACGGATTCCAGATTGAACGCTAACATATATAATAAACAATGTCCAACATCATTGCATTCTAGCATCAGTTATTATGAGTAAATTCTGTACAAATTACGTAGAATGATAGAAATTTTATGAAACGCTCAAAAGTTATTTTTACTATTTCATATAAAAATGAACGTAATTCAGAGCAAGAACTATGTATACAGCCGGACAATATGTCGCTTTATAGAAACATATTTGTTCTCTGATTCTATCTACTTCGTTTCGTAAATATGTAATACTAGAATACAATAATTTTGGATGTTCTATATTGTATACATGTTTCAAAGGTATTCTGTATTTATTTTCGTCATATGCTTCTGTTAAGAATGAAAATGAATAGCCACATATCATATGTCAAAAATTATTTACAAAAAACAAGCTTTACAAAAAGTGTGGAAAGAAGATTTTTCTTATTATGATAATCTACACTCTCAGAGAGTCAGACTTTATTTGAGAAAATTCAGCATCCGTTATGATGTTTTTACATAATTCTCTTTTATCAATAATTGGCAATGAATATTTCTTAATTACTACCAACATTATCAAAATGCAACAAGTTTTATAATGTATTGATCATTTTTATGTTGTCTACTAATAAAATTATCTCTAAACTTTTTGAACCTTACAAATCATAATAGACATTTTTTTTGATAATTACCTGAATAACGAAAGCATGAAATAAAGCACAACATGAGACTGGAACAAGATATCCTCTAAATGTACACCATGATGAATTAAAATTTTTTTCATATATATCACCTAATAATGTTTGTATATTGCCTGAAACTAATACCACTACATAGATATTCATATAAAAATAGATATTAGCAGAGAGAATAAGAGTTAATTTCTCTTCTCGTCTTAAACCAGAGCTGGGCATCTCCATGGAAACAATTCGTTTTAGGACCCCCTAAATTGTCCACGTAATTTGTGAATTGCGATGTAATTCACAAATCACGTGGACAATTTAGGGGGTCCTAAAATGAATTGTTTCCATGGAAATGCCCAGCTCTGTCTTAAACGATTATGACATTGATGATAAATAATAATACCAAGGATAATAACCGAAATCACAATTGCAAATGAACCATGAATAAGTGAAATTAAATTTAGTACAAAACCAACTATTCCATGTCCCATTATTAATATAAATTTAAATGATTTACTTTATTGGTATGAACTATATGAAAAAAGAAAAGAGATTTGATCAAAGGATGTCAGGAAATGCTCAGAGAAATCAATTAGAAATGAACTTTCTAATAATGAAATGAACGCTTTTTTTTGCATGCTTTTCAAACTCATTGGTGTTTTTTTCTTGACTTTTAATTTTACAAGAAATAATTAATTTTATATCAAGTGCACTTCATGAAAATAATGTCAAATCAACAACATGTCTTAAAAACGATACAAAAATCATCAAAACCATACGATAAGAATGATTTAAGGACAAAGAAAGAAGACGTGCCTTCACTACTTATCCTTTGAATTTTTCCGTGAAATGCTGAAGTTGTACTTTCTTTCTTGCACTGAAGTCAACTATGAAAAATTCCCTGGATATAATATATTCTAGAAGACATAACAATAAGATCGACGTAAAAAAATGTATGAAGGGCATTTATATTCAGAAAATATTCATGTCGAAATTAATATGTTTTCTACAAGCTCACAAAACATTGCAATCTTAAGATAACACTGAAAATGAAATAAATGATGATATACACATATTCAAAAATTATGGCAGAAGAAAAATAAAATATTTTTATTTTTTAAAACTATAAAAGTATTGAAAAATACATACGAATACCATAAAGAAATTGAAAGTAGATAAAAGTATGATTTATGATACTTGTCATTATATGAAATTTTACTTAACTGTCTAAACCAGGTTTTTACTTTCGATTTATGCCTGCAAATGAGCAACTCCGAATATAGCAGCTTTAATGATAAATTCACTTGTCGCTTATGTGGCTAAAAAATAATCGCTAGTTGAAAATGTTCTGCATTTCATATTTGTTCATTTTAATCATTTGATCATTAAATTTCGATTCGAATGTGATGGCGAAAAAAAGTATTTAGATAATCAAAGAAAGACTTCTTAATGAAACATATTCAAGGAAAAATTGCCTTCTACTTTGATGACTTCTTTACAGTTGATACTGATATGGCATCTATTACATTTGAGCACCTCAAATCGTTCTAGAATAGCATAACAAGTGATGGTTCAAAAACAAATGAATGTGGATGTGTGGGTGGAGGCTATGGATGTGGGGTGTAGATTTGAGTTCACACAAGCATTGTACCGACACCAACATCCACACATCCCATACCCACATCCATAACTTTAAGCCCTTTTTTCTTCATTTAAATTTGTAAAAATAATTGTATTTTTTAATTAAATACATGTGATTTAGCTGGTGATGAATCATCAAGTGATAGTTGACAACAATTGAATGGAACTGATAATATTAATTTATTAATAATGGCACGTAAAAATTGGTAAGAATGTGAGTGTAAGTATGCGGTGTGTAAGCGTATGAGTGTAGGTGGGCGGAGTGTGGGATAAAAAGGCTCACACTTACGCACAACACATATACTCACACTCATATCCCAAATCCACATTCATATCCTTCTTCAGTGTCGCACTGCCAAGGATATTGATGGCAAGTGTGGAAACCATACATACAATAACTGTTTTAGCAAGAAAATGTTAACCCAAAATCAGAATTTTTTCATTCATCACTACTGTTAAAAATAGAATCTGACCGTTATATTGAACTATTTGATGAAGGTGTACAGAAACATTCAGATGTGAATCTTTATTATTTCAGGGAAAAAAAGACAAAAACTGAATTAAAAATACAAAGCCAATGTGCAGTTTAGTTTTCTGTCTGGTTTAAACTTAGTAATCATATTTTTTCGCTACCGCACCTGTTGGTCACATTGCTACCGTTGCTACAACCGTTGTCATTATCGGTACTGGTACATGTGTTCCAAAATCTTGCTGTGTCTGAATTCAATTTAAGCGTTCCTGATGTACATCACCAAAGATACCTACGTGGGGCTGGTTCAATATTTGCTGAAGCTCTTGTCGACTTAGGTAGCATAGAGGAGCAGCAGAAACTGGGACGTTTTCTTTGGGAAGAAGATGCACACTACTGTTAGTAACGCCACCGTTCATTCCCTTCAGCTGCATGATAATGCGGCAAAAATTTTCAGCATGAGCTTTCTTCTGATCAAAGTTAGCTGCATCATACTCCACATTTCGAATTAGATAGAAATTCAATTCTTCAATCGGCCGAAAATGTTTCTTGTAGAATTCTGCACGATCTGATTCAGGAAGAATACGTGCATTTGATACTGTTATCCAGATTAGTGTACTTTGAATACGGGTCTATGACGATTGTGTGTAAGACAATTGTGTGTAAGACAATTGTGTGCAGACAATTGTGTGTATAGACAATTGTGTGTAAGACAGATGTGTGCAAGACAATTGTGTGTAAGACAATTGTGTGCAAAATGAATGTGTGCCATGTATAAATAAATATTTTAGTCAAAAAAGTGACAGTAGTGTCAAACTTGAAACTTGAATTCAATTGAGTTTTCAACTTTCAAGTGAGTTTTCAAGTTTTAACTTTCAATCTAATTTCGGATGACTTTTTCGGCCAATCCTTTCGCGGCGCCCACAGCAGCTGCGACATGATGTGTGTCGTAGTGTGGCCAGTCCTTTCGCGGCATCCACAGCAGGTGCGATGTGCTGTGTGTCGTAGTGCGGCCAGTCCTTTCGCGGCACCCACAGCAGGTGCGATGTAATGTGTGTCGTAGTTTGGCCAGTCCTTTCGCGGCACCCACAGCGGGTGCGATGTGATGTGTGTCGTAGTGCGGCCAGTCCTTTCGCGGCACCCACAGCAGGTGCCATGTGATGTGTGTCATATTGTGCCCACTCCTTTCGCGAATAGTCCCTTCACGGCCAGTTCTTTTACGGCCAGTCCTTTCGTAGTAACTTGAAACTTGAAACTTGAAAACTCACTTGAAGCTTGAAACTTGAAAACTCACTTGAAACTTGAAAACTCACTTGAAACTTGAAACTTGAAACTTGAAAACTCACTTGAAACTTGAAACTTGAAAACTCAATTGAATTCAAGTTTCAAGTTTTACATATATGAAAAGTGAATGGCAATGAACAAAACAAAGTAGACAAAATAACAAAAAAAAATCAAGATAAACTAATCAGTAAACAATTATGACATGAATGTATGAGCAATCGTACGTAGAATTGAAATTTCTCAACTACTAACAGGTCTCATACCAAAAACAAAGAGGATCAAAACTCAAAACACAGCATCGAGAATTTTACGGATTTTAGATAATCCTACAAATGATAATACGCAGAAAATAAAAGCGATTGCTCATACATTCACGTTATAATTGTTTACTGATTAGTTTATCTTGATTTTTTTTTGTTATTTTGTCTACTTTGTTTTGTTCATTGCCATTCACTTTTTTGACTAAAATATTTATTTATACATGGCACACATTCATTTTGCACACAATTGTCTTACACACAATTGTCCATACACACAATTGTCTTGCACACATCTGTCTTACACACAATTGTCTATACACACAACTGTCTGCACACAATTGTCTTACACACAATTGTCTTACACACAATCGTCGTGCTCCCTTTGAATACTGAAGATGTATTGTAATAACCCGTTATGCATTCTTCGTTTCAACTATTTTAGATCGGCGCTCTGGCGACGGAGCATTTTTACAGCAACCACCATAATATCCTTTTCCTGCAACTACGGGCACGAGATGTGAATGTTCCTCTGCTTTAACACTCTTCTTTACATCAGACGTATAGTAGATATTGATAATATCTTCAACTGGAATCATAATGATAGTTTCATCCGAAGACAAGTGTTCTTCTTTTGATGTAGCTAGAGAACCAAGCTTTTGATCAAACTTCTTCTTGTTTGAAAACTGTGTTTCTGCATAGTCAACTGAGGTTTTCTTTGATGATTGATGATAGGTATGAATCGAAAGCATCGGAGATGTATACGTTTGATTCGGTGTTAAAATACCAAGAAAGATCGAAATACGGCAGAACATGTCATATCAAAGAATATCACAGCTGCTGCAAGTCTCAGTGTATTGGAAGTAGAGATTTTGTGAAGCTACTCGAAAGGGTACTTTCAGTTTACACTTAAGATGCATCATAGGTCGAAAATAAAAAATATGCTCCCATTGAGTCAGTAAATAGCGGTACTAAGCACACGGTGTGGGTAGCTGAACATGACTTTCTCATTTCGGCTCCGAAGATTTCCACTAGGCTTTAACTCGGAAGCAAACAGCAACTTCTTCACAGAATTTCATGCATCTACCGAATCTTTCAGTTTTCTTTAAAGGGACGCTTACACAAATAGATGAACACATAGCTATAAGGTATTTTTGTTGCAGCTACATCTTGTGTTTTCACAATAGTCAGTGATGCGTCAACAATCTTCGTCTTCTTGCAACATCCGCTACCCGTTTATCTTTTTTTCTCCTGTTTGCCAGAGTAATTGAGCATAACTCTTTTGATAATAATTGTTGATATAACTTTATTGTTTTTTATGATATGCATATCAATGTCTTATCAGGTTTTAGTGCGCAGTTTCTTTCAATGAAAAACAAAAGACAGATTATGGGTTTTTAAAACATGCATGATGGATGTGGATGAATGTGAAGATGTGGGAGTGTGAAGGTGTGGATGTGCATGTGGATGGGTGTAGGTGTGAGTGTATATTAAGCTCTTTATGACACCAACCCCCGCCTACACACACCCCCACATATTACTAGTCGATGCACGAAAATCGAATTATTTCGTGAAGAGACTTTTTTGTTCTGAAAACTTCAATTTATTTTGTAACAAAGTAGATTAAATGAACATTGTCTTCAGTAATTGTCAAACAGGCATTTTAAAAAAGAAAATAGCTACAGAAAATTTTGTTAAAGTCCATTACTCAGTCATCAGCTCTTAGTCAAATTGTTCTTTCATCTTCCTTAATAACAACTAATTTGTTGATGAGATATCAATACGACATAATCATAAAATGAAGGAACGCTTTAACCATTATTTGTACTTGCTCCATGAA